TATTAAATTATCAAATTATGAGGAGATATAAATGAGAAATGAGATGTGTTTGCAAAGTGTAATGTAAAAAACTTTGTTTAAGAAGAAATTCCATTTTAGAAATTAAGAAAGCTTATAGCAAATAAACAATAGACTCAATATTAAATTCCAAATATAAAATTAGCAAGTTTAAAGAAGTTCGAGCAGAATTTCTTGTTAAAGAGGACAAAAGAACAACAAAAATATGAAAAACATTAACATATAATAGATGAGCAAGGAATTAATGAAAGAATCACACCAAATCGAGTTGCCTAATATCTATTACGTACGATAGCTCGTCGCTCGTAATGATAAAGAGAATGAAAATAAGGAAGTGATATAATGCAGAAATTAACCCTCTTCTTTGGAGTTGCTTGAATTTATGTAAACAAATAGGAGGCATAAGAACAGTTAATTATAAAATAAAGAAAAAATGAAAAAAAAAATAAAGTATTTAATTATATATATATATATGAAAGAAGGATAAAATAAACAAAAAATATACCAAATAACTCTACTTAAATCCCACCACCATTACCAATAACCACTATAATAATAAACAAATTAGAAAGAGTGATAGTAATTAGTAATAAAATAAAATAAAAATATGTTAGAGAATTACAGAATTAGTTGGCCACCGAAGTTTTGAACCTATCCTAATATGTATTGATTGTATCATGAGATCCTAACAGGGTTTTTCCTTAAAATATTCTTCAATTTGAGAAAAGTCTATAAGTAATAAGACCTTTTCTTTTAAACACAATACTATTATCATAGTTAATTTCATCATATATTTTCTTTTAAATATGCCAAAACCAATAAATTAAGAAAAGCTTTCCGAAGGAAGTAAGTTTACATTTTCCTTTTATTACTTCATCAGCAAATACGGCAAATTATTAGGTCCAGTCACCTGATACAAAAATATATCCGGATTTTCCTCTATCTACAGTAAAGCGCAGTTACTGTAGCAGCTACGCTTTAACTGTAGACAGAGAGAAATCCAGATGTATCTCTCTGTCAGGTGATCGGACTTAATAATTTGCTCAGCAATACAGAGGTCAACCTCCTCTTGCATAAGTTTGCAAATTACTTGTTTTCCTACAAAAAGATATTACAAAAAATCTTACACAAAAATCAAAGTACAAGTTATCCAACCTATTTTTTTAATTCTAGTCCATCACAATCAAAGTTCTGTAAATATGACAATCAACGCATAGCCTGAGGCAAATATTAAATTTCTAACCAAAATTTATTATGTAAATGCATAGCCTTTACAAGCACTTACAACACTTTAGCTTATTCTTTGTCACATAAAATATCATCGTCTGTGATAATTTTTGTGGACATTTTGATCAATTAAAATAAATTCACACACACATCACATACGTAATACTTAAACTCAAAACCTCTTGGATGTTAGTTGCGCCACTAACTATAATTTAAATGAATATATTAAAAAAAATATCATTTAATTAGTTTAACTTGTATCGATCGAAATCTATCAAACTAATTTTATTTTGAGACTCTTCATACTTTATTCTCATTTACACCCACTAATATATATTCCTTATAGCTATAGCCCCCCTTCTATGAGTCGCAGGAGACAGACAACCCATAGAATTCAAATAGGCAAATGGAGCCAATAGCCATGGGCTAACAAAATTTAGCTCTGCATGTTCTTATCTTCCACACATTTTCTCCTTTGGAAATATAACATGGAAAATTCTGCTTGGGATAATTTTTTAAAAATTTTATATGGAATTTTTTAAATATGAAACCTTATGTGGTTGGGACAATCTCATTTGGCACAAGTTTCATGCTATAAGGTACTTTTGTGACGTCTGTTTAGCTATACGAGAAGGGTTAGAAACATTTGATGCTTTGCTTGGAGAAATATTCGGGTGGATGCTGAATGCTCCCTTTGCCACTCTTTTCCTGAAAGTATTGCCCGCCTCTTCTTTGGGTGTGACTTTTCCTTCAATATTTTAACTCAGATGTTTTCTCGCTTCAATGCCTATAGTTTAAGGCCGAATTTAATTTCAAGTATTGGATAACATTGAAGCTATGGTTGGGTGCTTGCAAGAGGCTAAAAACCTCTATCTTCTTATTATATGCTATTTGGTTTTTCATATTTGGTGTGAACATAATAGCAAGAAATTTAGTGGATCCTTTGGGAATGTTTCCACTGTCATACAGAAAATTAAAAAGGTTGTGAGACTTAGAATTTCCAAATGGAAATTCAGGGATTCTCTTTTTGGATTAATCTAACTTTCATTGCTAATATGATGTATGTTTTTATTCCCTTCATGCATTTTTGCGGGTTTGTTTTGAAGCCTTTTTGGAGGATTACAAGGTAAATTTGGTTTTGTTGGGATGTCCTATCAGATTTTGTGATGCCTTCTATCTCTGGTGAGCTCAGACACATGAACATTTATTGGGCTATTTGGATTGTCTGACACTACATTATCCTACTCCAATTTCCTTTTCTTCTTGTTGTGCCCTTGCCTTAGGTCAAATTCTATGATGCTTATGGTGCCTTTCATTTGTGTCTGGTGAGAATTTTGGTAGCCATGAATGATGATGTTCATCCCTTAAATCCAGACGTCTACCCTTGGACGGTTATTATGGAAACCTGGGGAGTTATCTGCTTGCTACAATTTCGATGCCGATTACACACTATTATGTTAGTCCTAGCTAGGGGTTATCCCTTTTGGTACTGCTCTTACTTGTTTTTCTATCTTAGAAATTTTTATTTGCTATTTGGATTCGCTAAGTTTGATTTTGGTGCTTCATTGGCTAGCATAGCTCTTTTTAATAGATGCACTTGTAATTTTTTTTTGTTCATTTTTGAGAAAATTGCTATGTTCGCGTATTGCTAGGTATTGCTCGATTTTGCTCGGCAATAATGAGAAATACCATTCTGTGAAGAGCAATATCGAGTTTTGCTAAAAACTTGGTATTGCTCGGTATTACTCGGTATTACTAGGTATTGGTCGATTTTGCTTGGCAATAACGAGAAATATCATTATGTGAAGAGTAATACCAAGCAATATCGAGTTTTGCTAAAAACTCCGTATTTAGGGTATTGGTCTTGACATAGCGGTATTTCTCGTTATTGCCAAGCAATACCGAGCACTATCTAGCAATACCGAGCAATACGCGAACATAGCAATTTTGGGTTCCGGTTCGGGTTTGGTCATTGGGCCGCACGGTAAAGAGTGATAATACGTGGCAACATATTATTGACGTCCGAACGTAGAGCTACGTCAGGTCACCTGACCTAATAATTGTTCCCCACACACACAAAACATTGTATTTCTCACTTTTGCTTATGTGCATAAGATATTTATTGGGCCTTTCCAATGAAAGTTTCTGAAGGAACAATTTTGGGTGGCTACTAGGCAAAGGAGTTGCCAAAAAGTCCTCAGCTTAGCCGAAGTTGGTAAAGGCACCAAGTTTGTTTTCTAATGATGACTAAAGAATGAACATGATCATCGAACTTCTAATAAATTTCAATTTCTATTCTTAATTCAAACTTCATATGGGTAAGCTTGTCGTAAGCTTCGTTTGGAATGTCTTTCTTTCTCTTCAATAGAAGCAGTAAGAAAGCTGTCCCAAATGAAGCTTTAATGTTCGTAGGGCAATTTTGGCATTCGCGGTTGCACCGTAATATGCACTTTCTTGACACTTGTAAAGGACGATTCCTATCTGCAATATATATGAAATTACCATCCACATATAACTCACCTTCATATATTAACGTAAATGTAGCTGCTCGGCTTCTTATTATTCAACTGCTATGTTACAGTGGAGTTTTAAAAACCAAAAGGAAAATTAATTATTCAATTACTAAATGCTGAATCAAACAGATTAAATATATATTAGGCTGAATTTAAAAATTTGTCCTTATCAAATAACTTAATTATTAATTAGAATAAGCAATATCTAATTATTTATTTATATGTTATTTTATTAAAACTATGGGAGCGAGTTATGGAGCATAGGTTGCGGCGTGATACTAATGTTTCTCAAAATCAATTTGGATTCATGCCGGGTAGGTCACTATGAAAGCCATACATTTATTAAGAGGTTTGATGGAAAAATATAGAGAAATGAGAATTTGACTTTTAATAGGACACAATGGAGAAAAAGGATTCATGTAGCTGACCCCATGTAGTGGGATAAAGGCTTGATGTTGTTGTTGTTGTTGTTTATTATTAAAATTTTAATTAATTAATTATAGTGAACGAAGCTAGCGAGCCCGTTGCTGCTCGACTCGTTTTGTTCGAATAGGGGTGTCAATTCGGGTCAACGGGTTGGGTTTGGGTTGAACCCGGAACTGACCCGATGCTATTTGACACGACTCGAAACCAACCCGTTTTTGCAAACGGGTCAGAAAATGCAACCTAGACCGACCCGTCGGGTTGCCAGGTTGACACGATCCGACCAGAAAATTGGGAATGCAGAAGTACGAGCCTGGATTGCGTGGTTGGGTCCGCGTGGACCTAAAGGCATCCAACTTGGGTTCGTCACGCGTGCGGAAGCGGGAAGCACCAAAGCGGAGCGGCTAATGGCTAGGCTGGGCCCGAATTGTAGAAGTGGGAAGCGGAGCGGCTGAGCCCAGATTGCGGTCCTGCGGAAGCGGGAGCCTGGATTGCGGCACTGAACTGCTGAGCCTGGATTGCATAACAGCGGAAGCGGAGTGGCTGAGCCTAGATGGCGGAAGCGGGAGCCCAGATTGTCGGGTTAACGGACCTGGACCCGGGTCAAATTCGGGTTGATTTCGGATTTCTGGGTCAACCCAAACCCGGCCCGTTTTTGCAAACAGGTCAAAAATCTAAACCCGAACCCGTCACGTTTGCTAACCGGGTTGACCCGAATTTTTCGGGATCAGCTTTCGGGTTGCGTCAAAAATTGACACCCTTATCAGTTCGAATAGGTTTGCTTTTGCTCTTCTCCATTTCTTCATTGCTGTAGGATTTGGCCTGCTTCTCGTCCGGTAGATTTGAACGTGTCGCTAAAAAGCTTATTCGCCTCCTTCGACAACGACGTTCCCTTCGTTTCGGATTGAAATTCACTACGTTCTTCTTGTTGGATCGGAAGTAGCGACGAGAGCTCGCTCGCTGGGAAGGTAACCATCTTTCAATCTTTCTCCCTTTCGCGGATTTCGGGGCATTTCTTCGGCCAAATCCCGAAATCCGCTGAACTCCGGATTTAATAAATCCGGGATTTACGGAAAAAAGATGAAAACGGCGGGTTTATTTTGAGATTTACGTTATTATCAAATCCTGCTTGGCAGGATTTACCATAAGTCCTGCTCCCATCCCGCATAAATCCTGTATCCAAATAGCCCCTAATCCTCATTGCCTGTGATGCCACCTCCTCACCCTTATCGGCAGCATCTTGTATCGTAGGTGTTGCAGGGCGAGTTCTACGCGTTGATCTCCTTCCTGGAAGAGCCTCAAATCTGTATCCGCAGCAGTTCTTTCTCGCAAGGTTGCAGGTATTTTGTGAAAGCTTTTTACTAATTAATTTCGTGGTGCACCTTTATAGTTAAATCCGAAATTCTTCGCTCGCCTGCATTCACTTTTTGTAGTTAAATTAATTAATAGCTAAAACATAATCCTAAAGCCTGCATTAAATACGTAAATGAGAAATTCTTATAATTTTTATATATATTATTTTAGTAAAAGTTTAATTACTAATTATACTTATAATTATCTAATAAATCAATTAAATATTATATTACTATATAATAATTTATTTAATAGTTATACTATTAAGTATTAATCACCTAATTAAGTATTTATTTAATATTGGCATTGCCTGTTTAGGGTTTGCTTTCAATCTTCTGTTCTTGTGAATTTTTGTAGAGTTGTGAACGGATCCAAGCTTCTTAGCCTCCTCCTCCGACGTTGTTCCTGTCGGATCATAAGTCGCGTGGGGAGCTCGCCATGAAGGTAATGATATTTCTCCTCTGTCGCGTTCTTCTTCGATTGGGATTCTTTTTCCCTCGTGCCACACAAATGCCTTAAATCCACCGAACCGAAGGATTTGGTAAATCTGGGATTTACCACAAGAAGAGGGAATTTACCGTCAACCGTGGCTTTGATTTATCGTGAGATTTGGTTTTGCATTTTTGGCCGTTTGGCTAGATTTAGCTCAAATCCGTCCCAAATCCAACCTAAATCTTGCATTATGTGTTGTTTGGCAACGAGTAAGATTTAGCTACTTAGGATTTAGTAAATCCTGTAAACTCTGAATTTAATAAATTATGGGGTTGTTAAATCCTAAAAACTGTTTGTCAACTTAAGTGATAAATCCTATTAAATCCTACGAAATTATTTGACAATATAATCCAAGATTTAAGACGGTTAGTTCATTATAAAATTAAATATATTGTGTTTTTAATTTTAATTTTCTCTTAAATAATATTAAATTATTATTTTCTATCTTGATTAGCATAAAAAATTGTAAAGATAAGTAATATCATTATAATCTTTTAACTGATACACCTTGTTAAATTTTAATTAATTATTTTAAACTATATAATTAAGCTAATTATATTACTAATTATTTAATTAAGTTAAATTAAATAATTAATATTGCAATAATTATAATATTAATCAATTAATTAATTTACTTAATTATTAATATTTTAAATTATATTTAATAAGTTAACCTTAGAGATGTCTAACGGCTATTTGGATGTACCAAGGATTTAATTAAGTAGGATTTCATAAATCCTCTAAATTCAGATTTATTAAATCATAGCGGTATTAAATCCTGAAAAACTGTTTCGTAACATTCAATATAAATCCTCTCTAGTGATAATTCAATAAATTTAAGACAGATTTAGAGATTTGATGGTTATTTCTAGTATATGTTGAAAAAAAAATAAAAGAAATAAAAAAAATAAAAAATAGTTATTTCTAATATAATTAAAGTACATCGGGAGAAATTAAAATAAAACATAACAAAACTTTGTTAATACTAATTAATTATTTATAATATTTTATAATAATCAGTTTCATTTAAATTCATATTTAATCCTATTAATTATTTTGAAATTACTAAATATTTAACTAATAATTTTATTAATAATTTAACTAGTTATTTAAATATTATTTAATTAATTTTACGTAATTATTAATATTTTAAATTATATTAATTAACTTATCCAACAATACCTTAAGAGGAGTCTTAGGTTTTGCTTTGCCCTTTTGTATTTCGTTCGGCTTCGTTCCTTCTCATAGTGTAGAGTTTTGCAGGAGTTCTTCTTCGTCGCTGTTCGACTTAGCTCCTTGGACGACGTTCCCTTCCTGTTGGATTGGAAGTTACGACATTTTTTGATCGGAAGCAACGGGAGCTCGCTAGCTGCGAAGGTAACTTTCTCCGCTTCGCGCGCTTCTTTCGGCCAAATCCCGTAAATCCGCCGAACCAAAGGATTTCGTAAATCTGGGATTTACCACGAAAAGAGGGAATTTTCCGTCAACCGCGGTTTTGATTTACCGTGAGATTTGGTTTTGCATTTTTCGCCGATTGGCTGGATTGAGCTCAAATCCGCTTAAAATCCGGCCTAAATCCTGCATCCAAACAACCCCCTAGGGTTTTCTTTTCATCCTTTTTTTTCGTCGTTGCTGTTTGGCTTCCTTCTTCACAGGAGGTGTAAGATAGCACGAGTGGCTTCTTCGGCTCCTTCGTTGGTGTTCGACTTCGCTCCTTCGACGAAGTTCCCTTTTCCTGTTGGATCGGAAGTACGGACGGGAGCTAGCTCGCTGTGAAGGTAACTTTTCCCCTTTCGCGCGCTTCGTCGGCCAAATCCTAAATCCGCCAAACTACAAGATTTAGTAAATCCGGGATTTACGGCAAAAATATGGAAACGGAGGATTTATTTCGCCGTGAGATTTACTTCGAGCGTAAATACTTTTGCCAAACAGCCCCTAAGATTGGAAAATTCTAGCTAACTTCAATAAGCACGCTACACTTGATCTTAAATTTAGTCTTCAAAAATTATAATTCAAATCCTGTTGACTTAACTGACATATAACCTGAAATAAATTGCCAAATAGTTTTTTAGGATTCAGTTCTTAATCACATAGGTCGGTTTTTATCAGAATACGAGTCATTAATCATAATATGTTCTTAACCAGTGAGAGCTTCATTTGCTTCAATTTATGTCCTTGTTTGCTCTACATTGGTGCTTTTTAATTCAAGACATTTATCCTAGTTTTTTTTGGTCTTCTTTTACTTTTGTGTACAATCTCCCTCTTTTCAATTTCTGAGAACTATGAACTTGATTGTCATGGACAATCAAGCGGGCTTCGTCAAATATAGAGTCTCCACCGACAATATCCTTCTTGCTAGTGACATCCTTGCTTATGCTGGTAAGAATAAGAGGTAAATTTTTCTGTGCTAAGCTTGATGTCAAAAAAGCTTTTGACTATGTTTCCAGAGAATTCTTGTTAGCTAGACTTCTATAAAAAGGTTTTCCCAACCTCTTTGTAAACTGAATTAAAGCTTGTATTTCTGATGTCAATTTTTTTATTGTGCTTAATGGAGCTTAAGGGGTATTTCTCTTCTTCTGCAGGGATAAGGCAGGGTTGCCCTCTTAGTCCTTATCTCTTTTGTTTGGTTATGGACGCTTTCTCTAATCTCCTTGAGGGGAGGGGCTTTAGAGGAATTTCTTTTGAGGATTATACTATTAATCATTTGCTATATGCAGATGATGTGCTGATTTTTGGGGAGGCCACCATTGATAAGTGTAACTTGCTGGCTAACATTTTAAGTGATTTTGCCAATGCTTCAGGTCTCCATATTAATTATGTCCAAAGTGCTATTATGTTTCCTAAACATTTGAGAAACACCATGGAGATTTGTCAAGTCCTCTCAATTCACAACATTGTCTCTAAATCACTTATCTGGGTATCCCTTTGTCTTTCTACAAGCTGAAAATTGGAGATTATTTGCCTCTTATGGATAGTGTTAACAAGAAAATGAATGGTTGGAAGGCGAACTTGTTGTCATTTACTGGTAGGCTTCAATACATCAAATTCACTATCCAGAACACCATTGCCTACTGGATAAGGGGGGCCATTCTGCCTAAAATTGTCTACAAATATGTTAAAAAAACTAGTTCTAGTTTTTTATTTTTTGGTGATTCTTAGATTTCTAATAAGATGCATATGGTGTCTTAAGACAATCTGTTGGCCGAAATATAAGGGGGGTCTGGATATCCCTTCCATTTTTGCGTTGCAATTTGCCTATAACTGTTCTGTCATCTTTAGGATGTATAATTTCCCTTCCCCTCTCTCTACTTGGCTACTCTATAGATATAGGTCTCCTTGGAGACCTCACCTGCTTATGCCTCTAAACTCTGGAATTCTATTTGTGAGACTGCTGTTCGGGTGAAAGCTTGTTTTCAGTTTAAAATTACTCGCAATGCTCCTATCTCTTTGAGATGGGACCATTGGTGCAACAATGCCACTATCTCTGAATATTTAGGAGGTAATTATAATGAGGTGATTCCGGATTGCCTCTTGAAAGACCTCATTTCTTCTTCTCACTGGGTTTTTCCAGAGGATTTTCTGATGCATTTGAGGACTGCTTATGGGAATTTTAATGTTGATGGGGTAGTTGGTCCTTGTCTGTTTTGGGAAAACTGTTCAAACTATAAGTTCAGTAGTTTCATTGAGAAGTATTATTCGGATATTTCTAATTGTTCTTGGCACAAACTTGTATGGCCCAAAAGGAATATCATTAAACATTCGGTTTTTGTGTGGTTGACATTAATGGGGGAATTGAAAACTGCATACGCTCTTCAAATCAGGAACATTTTTGTGCTGAATATTTGCAGTCTTTGTTTTTTACACAAAGAATCTGTTACTCATTTATTTTTTGAATGTTCCTATTCATTCTATATCATTACTACTCTCATTCCTGGATTACAAAGTTTTTTCTTAGGCCCAATATTTTGCAGATTTTGGATTGGGTAAAATCTGAGTTTAAAGGTAATGCTGAGGTTAAATTTTTTTACAAAATTATGACTTGTTGTGCCATTTATCACATTTGGAAAGAGCGTAATAGCAGAAGGTTTGGAAACTCCTCTCTCTGTCATACTACCTTACTGCTTAACATAAAGAGGAATATGTTTGAAAATGTTCTGAAATGGAAGAACTCATGGGATTTTTTGAGAAAATTTTAACGTGCCCTCCAGTTTGGCTCTGGAATGTTTGACTAACTGTTGGGTTATGTGTTTCACTTGCCTTCATGCTATTGGTACAAATCTACTCTATTTCTTTGCAATGTCCCTTTGAGATTCTGGTGCAGGTTTTTTGCCTGCTGGTTTGCTGCATGGTGGATTCACTGGATCATTCGGGTGGATTGTTTTTGCTGCTGACGGTTGGGAGTTTTTTGAGGACAATGATGATAGCTGCAGACCTTTCTCCCCTAGGAGGGTCTGCGTGTCAACCAGGGGATTTTGGGACTTCGTATTGACTGCAGCGCCTGAGTCCTGCTTCATGACCTTTCATGAAGTGCTGAAGAAGTTTTGAAGTTTATACCACATTTTGGCCTCTTATAGTTTCTTTGGTTTGTTTTGAGTGGTATAGTTTTTTAGGTCTTTTTATATTGCTTTCCAGCTAAACTTTGTTTTTTAGTTTTAGCTGATTGTAATTTTACCTTTCCTTTTTTACTTGTATGTTCTCTTTTTTCCTTAGTAATACAAGGGCTTAGGCCCCATATTTTCCAAAAAAAAAAAAATTTCTGAGAACGAGTTTAGCAGTGCGTGAGAGGGCCACATATTATTAATTTACTGATCACTCGTACTGCCACAGTCTCTGATGAAATCTGATCGACCATCTCCAGACTTCTAAAACTAGAATAACCCATCTCCTTGATTTTCAGTGGTAGGCTTGATTTTGTCGAGATAGCGAAAGTTCAGGGTATGGGTTGTCACCATTGACAAAGAATGAACAGAAGGCCCTACTTAAATCTAACAAACCCTATTTTCTTATCCACACTTCATTCTCTGATCACACTCTTTGTTCTCATTGCCAAAGAAACTTTACCATCATCCAGTTCCTGCCTTTGTTGAACTTTCATCTCATTTTATTTGTGTGTGGAGATAGTGTAGGCAAATTTGCTGATTTTATCATATTGTTTATTATCATTCTAATCATTGTTTATCATTGCTCAGAATTGTTTTAATATGTCTGCTTCAATCTGCCTTCTTTTTAATTTTATTTGTGATTTTTCTTTGTTTTTTCCATTTTCTCTTTCTATAGTAACTCCCATTGAACTATATATTATTATAGTTTTTAGCTTGTATATTCTTGGTACTGGAGTGAGTGACTTTTGAAGCGAGTTTAATATTATATTGATGCAAAATATTTCTCTGTATGCTCATTTAAACTTGTAAAATTGTTTTGTTTTCTGTGAAATATAATTTCTTCTTATTAAAATTTTCAATTTTTTATATTTTATTCGTTTTTTCCTTGCTTAACAAGTTTGAATTGTGAATTATTATTGCAATCATGCTGTTTTTATGGTTAAACTGTTTAGATGGTCCGTTATATATGGTGTATGGTGTAATTGTACATTCATTTTGGCTTTTGCAGTGTAACACAAGTAGGGGCCTAGAGGATGAAGAAATATGGCCTGCAGCTTCGGTTTCCTCCCGATCAGCAGAGGAAGATGGCATCAAAGCCACCCATTCAACCTCCAGCTTCTGTTTTTGGTGATGATGATGATGATGATGATGATGTCACAAAGGAGAAGTCTCGCCAAGCGGTCAAGAGCAGAGCCCTTCAAATGGTAACTCCTGAATATTTCCTTATTCTGTTTTTATTTTAACAATTGTGTTGTTCTGAGGTAATAACTCAAATGACCTTTGCCATGTTGGCTTGTGTTTTGAATTTATAAGATAGATGAACAACAAAAAAAGACTCTGGAGGAGGACCCGTTGGCTTTTGACTATGATGGGGTGTATGATGAGATGAAATCCACTGCTGCTCGCTCTCGGGTTCAGGATCAATCCAAGAGAGAGGTAAGATTTAAAGTTATTTATGCTCATGACTATTACGCGGGGATCACATACCAAAACTAATAAATATAGAAATAAAAGAGTTTTCTTTTACCATTAAAGAAAAACTCATTATTTATCTGGATTTTCTGCTAGCACACCCTTATCCACTAAATATAAAAACCATATTGGTATGGGTGCTAAAACATATCTGGTTGGTAAATGCATATATATGTTCTAATGTTGTAACAATATTCACATTTCTATAATGACTATGCGCTGATGTACCATAGCACCATGGAAGATAAAATACTTGAAACAGTTTTTTGATTGCTAGATGGATTCTTTTTCCTTCTATTGAGAACCAATAGGATACTAATCATCAATGTTCTTTTTGTCTTGTCATACGCACCTATGACACGAACACTACCACAAAGGGTTTATAGTTCTCATCAATTTTCAATATAATTGTGTCCGTATTTTTGTTATTTCCTATTTTTTGTTTGTTTTGATGATGTATATGATGGCTGTATTGTGTGTTTTAAGATAAACGGCCTCAAAACCTTGAAGAAATTGTGTTGTTGTGGCAATTATTCTATTACAATGCTTCCCTTTGAGGACATTTGTTTCCCACTTTAAAGAGAAGGATTTCTCGAAATCATTCATAAACTAAGAAACCATCCTTTTGAGAATGATTCATTGTCTTGATTTTTTTCAAATAATTGTTGGTCCATCTGTCGCATGTAGTCTCTAAATGTTCTCAAAGTCAAGCTCTTAATTGAACTCACTAGGAGCAACTTTGTGACTGTTGTTATCAAAGATGGGCCAAGCACTTACCTAGGTGCCTGGGCAAGGTGAGGCTTTAGCGCCTCAAAAATTTTCGAGGGGAATAAAGTATGGGAAGATGAAATAAATAGTAACAAATATTATATTAACCTTACACGATAAGCTAAGAAAAACTGAGGTTTGTATTTACTTGGTTAAACTTGAAATATATTTTTTGGAATTTATGGGCATTTAAGGAATTCATTTGACAAAATTTTGTGACGTGCATGATAAATCCGATTCTTTTGTCCACATCTATCGATCACAAAGTTCAACATTGGATTTATTTTTTGTTCATATTCCATATTTCTTTTGATTGTGAGACATTCATTTTTCAAATGAAGATATCTTTTGTTCCAAGGTTAAGATTATTCATTCCTTATTATTTTTTCTTGATTGCAGCCGAAGTATATTACTGCAATCATGGAAAGTGTAAAGAAGCGTGAGCGAGAACATGAAATAATATATGAGAGGAAACTATTGAAAGAGAGGAGTAAAGATGACCATATCTTTGAAGACAAGGAAAAATTTGTTACAAGAGCATACAAACAGAAGCTTGCTGAACGTGCAAAGTGGTTGGAAGAAGAAAGGTTGCGTGGACTCCGTGAGGAGAAAGATGATGTAAGTTATACTGCTCTCCTTTTTAATGCCTATTCTCCTGCTATCAGAGATTGATCGGGCTCTTTTTCCTGTCTCTAGTCCTAATTTATTACTGCTGACATGTTTACTTTGGTATGTGTAGAGTTTTATAATGTTGTAGCTCCTTGTCTGTGATTCCTTTTCCTTGATAGGTGCAATTTCAGCCCTTTTATGTTTCTTCTTGATGTTTTGTTCAATTCTTTACCAATTAGTGTGATTCTTTGAAGAGTTCCACTTTTATCGGGTATGCTAATGGATATATATACCATTATTATGAATTTCACATGGTATTCAGGATATCCGCTTTTACTTCTAGCTAATGTTTTAGCTATATGCCCTTATTGCAGGGTTAGAGTGAAATTCATCAAGGTCCAGCCAGTCGTTCTTGGTAGTTAAGAATTTTGGTTTCAAAATTATATATATTTGAAGTCGTTCAAAAGGATTTGATAAAAATAAACTTAACATCTCGTGCAACTCACCATAAATCAATGAAAAATATGAAATTATAAAGCCAACTCTACAACATCAACAACATCAAGCCAGTATACCACCCACTACGTGGGGTCGGCTACTTGAATCTTTTTTTTCCATTGTGTCCTGTTAAGACTCAATTTCTCATTAAAAAGATGTAATTTCTAATATTTTATAGTCAAGTTTTTTTAGGTCAACCTCTACTTTTTTTTAACATAAGCCAAATCCAATAAATTTACTCTCCTAACTGAGTCATCTAAGGTGAATCCTTTGATCTTATCTACCACTGGAGCTACTCCAACTATCCAAGCTTTTCACCTATATACTTGTTTCGCATGTTGTCTCTAAGAATGAAGTCATTCATCCACCTAAGCATCTTCATCTCTCCAACACTTACTTCTATGTTTCTCTTTTAATGGCCAACATTCTGTGCAATAAAGTATTGCAAGTTTCATCAACATCTTATAGAATTTTCTCTTAAGTTTTAGGAGTACTTCTTTATCACACAATAAGCCTGATGCATTCTTCCACTTCAACATCCAACTTGAATTCTACTAATAATATTCCTATTTATTTCACCATCACTTCGAATAATAGATCTAAGACATCTAAAACATATACTCTGACTTGTTACCCAAAGTCACAATCCTCCTCACTAGATCTATTACTATTAAAATTACACTCCATATATTTGACTTTAGATCTACTAAAAAGAAAACCTTTACTCTAAGACTTTCATAAACCATATTTTCCTTCAACTCTCTCTCTCTCTAAAAAATTGCTCACAGTAGTCTATTATTCATTTAGTGGTAAAGCAACCGTCTCAAATGATGCAAACTAGTTAAATGAATGCTTTTGGACCTCTACTTCCAATGTCACATCGACCTACTGCCATTATCCTCCCTTTTTATAGAGAAATTAAATTTTCTTGCCATCAAACTTTTATTTACATGGTTAAAAGTAATAGCCTTGCCTTCAGTGATTTAATGGATAGTTTTCCGATGTAATTACTTCTAATTATTCTATCCCTCCTACTTTCCCATTCCAGGTTACCAAGAAGACTGATCTGACCGACTTCTACTTCGGTCTCAACAAGAATGTAGCTTTTGGCGCTCATTCTGCACATACTTCGAAACCAACCAAAGAACAATCAATAAGCATTTCTGCCGCAAAACCTGATGGCAACACTTCAAATGCTGAAGCAGCCAAAGATCCAAAGCAGGATAGAGAGCAAGGAGAAGAAAAACCTCCAGCTTCTGCTTTTTCGGAAGATTTTAGGGCTCTTGCGTCCGAATCTGATCCAGTTTATCTTCTTCCACAAGACAAAATCGAAGTAGCTGCAGCGATGTCAGATACGGATGGGAAACAGATTTCTTCGGAGCAAAATATTATCAAAGAATCATTGGAGGAAGTATCTGAAAAGAAGAAAGCAGATCAGGCAACCGGAGGTGAAATGGACAGTGAACGATTCAAGAGAAGTGAGGATGCAGTTGCTGCTGCTAGAGAACGTTTTCTGGCACGTAGGAAAGCAAAACAACAGTGAACTTGGAAACTGTCATGTTCTAATGTACTTAGTTTATTTAAATGATTACTGTTTAGAAATAACAATGTTGTTTATTTGACCATATTCTTATGGGCACTTTCTTTCTCGTTGTTGTTCGGTAGATTATACCTATGAATGAAACGAGAATTTTTTAGTCATGTAACTGATGGAGCAGTGAGACCATATCAGTCAGTTTGTCATTTGATGCATTCGAATTTCAAGTCTTATGTCAAAATTCGGTAGGTGAATAATACGATGTCAATATTGGCGTTTGATTGTTCACTTATGCCAAAAAATTGGGTTGCCAAATTTGCCGAAGACGAGCACGAAAGAGTAGAGAGTTTGTTACCTTCGTAAAAAGCGCATGAAAGAAGAAAGAAAAACAATTCAATTAGAGATAAATTATAGCAGTTTTAAAATTTCACTGCATTTTAAAGTCAAAATGGATTTTTCAGTTGAAGATGCCCTCTGATTACAAAAGGTTTTGCTTCCGTTAGCCCAATTGTTTGAGGAAATCATATGCATTTATTAGCTGTTCTCTGAGAGAGTGTATATATATAAATTACTTAAGATGCAATTAAAACTATTTAGAGTACAATCAGTAAGTTTTTAGACCCATATTCACAGTAGCTTAGGAAAAATTATTATGTGTGATCATCAAACGGTGTCCAGAGGCGAAAAAAAAATGTCACATTATTTTTTTATGTGTATCATTTGGTATCGGATGATGTAAACAATAAGAAAAAAATAATGCGCAGAAGTAAAAGCAGTGAATAGGTATACATTTCATCTCAGAAAAATAGGGTTTAAAGACATTTAATGATGTAAACAATGAAAAAATAATGCATTGCAGGCTTGCAGCTAAGAATGTGAAATTCGTAGATATTAGGAAGGTGATGGGATAGGGCGGAAACCTATTACAGCTATATGCTCTACATTCAAACCATGCTGAAAAGAAGACAGCAAACAAGGCTTCTAATATTTGCAGTAAAATCGAAACAGAACCATCCCTCTTTAGAAGAGAGACCTGTAGAAGGGCAAGGCATACATATCTCACATGAACAGCTCAGTCCAATCAGTGCTCCTTTACTAGAAGAGCTGATTTCCCCTCCCACGGCCACCCACCCTACCTCTTCCGCGTCCGACGCCTCTCCCACCACCTCCTCCTCTGCCATGTTCATATCCGCCATCTGCGCAGTTCGAAGGACAGGGGTCATATGCTATCATTCATAACTTCCTAGGACATGCTGGGCATGAAGGAACACTTACTATGTGAGCATAGGTTACGACACGATGCTAATGTTTTTCAAAATCAATTTGGATTCATGCCGGGTGCATCTACTATGAAAGCTGTGCATTTGTTTAGGTTTTATGGAGAAATATAAAGAGCAAGGAGGATCCGCAAATGATATTTATTGATTTAGAAAAAAATATGATAAAGTTTCAAAAAAGTGATATGGAGAGTTCTAGAAAAGTAGTTAATAATACTTATATTTAAGTATTAAGAATATGTATATAGGAGTTGTTAATTGTGTTCAATAATTTCCTTTTTTAATTGGATTGGATCAATGATCATTTTTAGATCTCTTATCTTTTTTGCTTTAGTCATAGATGATCTTATTAGACATTATCAAGAGGATGTACCCTGGTATATAATTTTGCTAATGATATTCTTGTTGATAAAACTAGAGAGGGAGTTGAAGGAAAACTTGAATTATAGAAAAACCTTATGGTCTAAAGGTTTTCGTTTGAGTAGATCTAAAATTGAATATATGGAGTGTAATTTTAGTAGTAATAGAACTAATTGTGGGATTGTGACATTGGGTTATGAAGTCATTAAAAAGAGTGCAAATTTTAGATATCTTGAGTTTAAGTTATATTATTTAAGAATGATTATATTATAAGGATGATGAGAATATCATTTATAAAAATAAGATATTACAGAATAAACTTGGGTTGCTACAAATGCATAACAAGAAGTAAAAACTGCATCCTAAGAAAAGTGGAAAAATTTAGTGACAAATGATTAGAGAAAAGACATGCAAAGCAATAATAACATAAATAAAAGATACAAAAAATACGATATGGAATAGACTTAACATCTTATGAAACACTAATGGAGCATAATAATTCATAAAGTCCACGTATAAATATTTGAGATAAGGGTAATAATGATCATGATCTCTGTATCTTTAATGAATATTAAAGACTAATTTATTATGGTAAAAGAAAGTATATTTTCAAACTTATCCTTGGGCTTAGCATGTAGAAGCGAAAGAATTTAAAATGAAAAAGGGTTCAATAACCCATTTAATAATTTCAACATAGTGATCACAATATTATTAAATTTAAATGTCATCTGATAATATATCAAAATCATACAATAGATTTAGATTTCATTTAGGATGACTTTCTGACTACTTCTTAAAACAACTTTCTAATACAAAAATTTTAATTTTTGTACTAGAAACTGAAAGTTGTTTTAGAAAGCAATAAAAAAGCTATCCCAAATGAAGCCTTAGTTTCTTGGTTTACGCTTTTTTATTGTTACTTTCTTATGTTCCAGCAATATATTGTAGAGTATATATTAGGGTGTAGTCACCATGCTGCTCACTTAAATCACAAGAAAACACATCTTATAGGTAAACATTACACATGAAGTTATGGCAGTCAATAGAACTCCATACACTAAAAATTTTAAGAAAAGAATTGTATTCTTCATTTTTTCCAAGAACAACAAACAAATTAGAACTAAACAATCAGCAAACTATGATAAGATAAACAACAATTAGTATTGGGCTTACCGTGATATCCCCAACCTCCTCGACCACGCCCACCGCCACGGCCACCGCCACGACCCCAACCAATATTCCATTCACCATTTTCTAGTACACAATAATATAAGGTTGAGCATAATCATATATTCTTATAGAAAATAATTTTTTTAATTTTAAAACTAAGACTAGATAAATTGATTTCCCTATGCATTTTCTGTTTGCTTTTTGAGAGAGTGAGACTTTTGAACTTATGAGAAATAGTCCTTAAGCACAAATCCACTTTTACCTCAAATTAGCATAAAACTTACAGGTACATGAATTTCGAACTTTAAAAGATCATGTAATCTTAAATAAATATGTTTATTATTAGCAAACAGACTAAAAATTAAGCATTTCCAGCTTTCTAAAAATTTCAACTTTCAGGAAAGTGAACTGTCCACAGGTTCTGTTACACATGTGAAAAACACCGAATTAATACTACGATGAGATCTGAGCACGATTCAATATAATAATAAAAACAATCATGAAACAAAGGACAGGACATGCCTGAAATTAAATTTATTTGTGTATATACATATGTTTAATTATTCAATAGTGACATTCATATCCAAATAAAACCCATATTTATGAAATGATCATAAAGCACAACACTTAGGAAAATAAAGTCATAATAGCACTAAAAGAGATCAGATGAAGATGAGAAACGGAACCAAAGAAACAATTGATTTCATTTATAGCTGAATTAAGATGGCATACTTTGTGTCTAAAACCTGTCCACAATCGGCTAGAAGATGTCCAAGAAGTGTCAAAATTCTTTTACAAATATTAAAAAACATGATAAATGAAAAATGCTGAGTGTGAACAGCATCCTAGAGTGCTCATGTGTCCACATATTCGCCAATACACAACCCTGTAGTAGTTCATGTTTAATAGAATATTCAGAAAATAACAGGGGAAAATATTATATTATCAAATTTGTGTCTATATTATGTAAGCGAAGTTTCAACTACAAAGTTCCAAAACCTCATGAAAGGGAAAAAATTAGATTACCAAATTTGTGCCTACAACTACAAATTTCTAAAGCCTCGTGACCACAGGGTCAAGTAAAATAACCATCATAATTATAAACTCCAGTTAAATATAGCTCAATGAGTAGATTACGAAAAAAATAATCACTTAATACCTTGATTGTTTGCATATCCGTGGTTGCTTGGATATCCTTTGTTGTTTGTATATCCTTGCTTTCCTGGATATCCTTGGTTGTTTGGATATCCTCCATACCCTTCATATCCTCCATATCCGCCCTGGCCCCAGCCCCAGCCCCTTCCTCTTCCTCTTCCTCTACCTCGACCACGTCCTTGACCAAATGAATCTTTGAACCAATGAATGAGATAATTAGCAACAAAACACAAAAAATGAAGGAAAAAATCAGCAATTCATGCTAAAGAGGTTTCTGTAAATTAAAAATGTAGCATCAACAATATACTATCACTGAATTGAGCTGGTGATTTTCTCGGTGGCTGGAGCTGATTGTAATTCCTAGGCTGCTGATATTTTTGTTGCTTTGGCTGCTCTATATGTAAGGGGGGCTGATACCTGCAGAAATAAAAAGAGCATTAAGTAATATGTTTGCTATTTTTTACAGCATTGGGCTTTTAATACTTGGAGAGGTGTGGAAGACCAACTGATACAGATAATTAATCAGTATTATCATAAGAAATGCATGAGTAATAAAAATAATTACCCAGGAGAATTCCTGCTAAGCATCCTAGTTGACAAAGAGATTGAAATCATTGAGACATGTCGGGTCATTTCCAGTCTTTACAAAAGAAACTTGAAGATATTAGAACATAGATTTTTAACTTGGATCAACAAGGTTAGATTGCTTCTCAACAAAGTAAAAGAAAAAAACTTACGGTACAAGACCCTCCTCAATAGGTTCCCATATATCTGTAATGCTGACTGAACTGATAACAGTATCTTGGTGCAATCCAGGAGTCCTTTTCTGTACTCAGCATAAAGGTCATCGTTCCAGTCAAAAAGAGTAATGATAGTATTACCGCAGAACATTACCAACCTTTAGAATCTCCGCAATTGCTACAGTCTTGCTAATCGCTTGTCCCATTGCCTTCAACACAATTTCTGTTGCAAGTTTTTCCCGATTGTTCTGTTCGTGAGAAGAAAAATATCACGATTACTCAAGGCATCATAGTACATCATAAAAATAATTTCGAGGCAGTTAAAAACATAATAGAGCTAGCATGATCATTAGTCCTTTATAGGGAAAAATTGTTTAAATAAACTGTGCAAGCCAAAGGAACCTGCAAAGGAAAAAAAAGTCCATTTTAAAAGAGATAATATAAGTTTATATTGTTTGGTGTTATTTATGTTTTATTGAAAAGAAGTGTCTTAGTTAATATAAGTTTATATTGTTTGGTGTTATTTATGTTTTATTGAAAAGAAGTGTCTTAGTTTGCAGTGTTTTCCTACTTGGTTTAAGAACTTAGGTTGCATCAATGTTCACTTCTCCGGTGCTACGTGTACAACAGTTCTCACATTATTCATTTGAGCTGTTGTTGATTCAAGAAGATATGAGCTATGAAGAAGTACTGGAGAGCATTTTGGAACGTGAAGTTCTTCAGCTATGTCGTCGATCTATTTCATTTGTCAGAGTGCTTTGGAAGAACCAGTAAGAATGAGAAGCCACTTGGGAGATTGAAGAGGAGATGATTGCGAAGTATCAACAACTGTTTCAAAACTAAGGTATGAATTTGAAGATCAAATTTTTTAAGGAGGATAGTATGTTATAAATTGAACCAAGACTAATTAAGTATGGGGTCTCGTGTGATCTCTCTTCACGCGGGATTGTGAACCAACCCCCCCCCCCCTCTGCGATTCCCCTTCTCCTCATCACAACTCGACGAGCAGCTCCCCTAATTCGCATGTCGCGGCATCGCACGCGGACGAACCGAGCAAGTTGTGATCCTCTCTCCCTCCAATCGCTATTTCTTTTCCTATTTGACATATTCTCTGGCCTCGCTACCTCCCTCTCGCCATTTATTTCAATTTAGAGCCTAGGTCATCATTCTAAACCTTCCCTTGTCTCCCTCACAGCCACCAAAAGCCCTTCTCTTCTCTTCCTCATAGTAGCCGCCAAAATCCTCCCTCCTCGCTCCTTTCTCGCAACAACCACCTTCGGCAAGTCTTTCCTTCAATAGTGAGTTCAAGCTTTCTCTTATTCCCTTCTCCTTCTTTTGTATTGCCAACATATAGAGTAGATGTCCTCTTTTGTATTGTTTTTGCTATATTTAATTTGGTGTTGCCTTGATTCATTGCTATGATGAATTTTAACTCATTTTCAAAGGGGGACTTATTTTAAGTTCGGTGTTCGATTTGATCTAACTTTGTTCTATCCTTTAGGCTTGATTAATATTCTAGACTCAGGTTCTGTAAGCTTGAGGTTTCAAGCATGCGTTCCCTTTAGTGTGATCTTGAATGTTAAATTAGGATTTATTGTTAGTAGGACTTCCAAGTTTTATCCTCGAAGCATGATCGATGAAGCATCTTTTGGACTTCGGGCTTTTTGTCACTCGCCTAGATGTAAGTACTGCTATTTATTTTTGTATAAACGTACCATTCTTTGTTAGAAGTGTAATCCATGCCAATTATAGTAGGATCCCTTATAACTATTTAGATTGTCAGATCGATTTTGAGTTTCTTTAGTATAATCAATCAAGCAGTAAATATTTGTTATTGCTCATAATGAATTAGAAGGTTTATAAATAGAATATTCTTGGTTTATTATTGTATAATCTCCTATATATCAAATTTGTATTTTCATACATGCTCTTATTTGAATGCAATAAAAGTTATATTGGCAAATCATATCAATTTTATTTATTGCAATACACGATACTCCTGTTGTAAATCATGTTGATTATATAAATTGTAATTGTCATGTTGAATTATATAACACTTATTAATTATTTGTAATAGCACTTGTACTATATGATTATGTGTATGTCGGTATAACTTTATTAATTTTTGCCTAACTAGGGTCAACGGGCCCCAGAGTGACGACTATACAGGAAATCATTAGATTTTCTTGGGTTGTCGGTTACCTTCCCGATGATGTATATGATGAACCGACAAAAAAAAAATGTATGCTAAATATAAGAAAATATAAGTGGATATAAATTAGAAGCAATAAATAATTGATAGGTAATTTTGAGGTAGGATGATACCTAGAGTGATTGCATTTATGGCATTAAAATAATTTGTATTGATAATAGTTTAGCACATACATTAATGATACTAGCATATTAGATTGTTGTTGTAGGAAACAAGACATGCGTCATTACTACTTTGGTTTGGTGACTTTACGTTGTTACTTCCACCCTTTGGTTGTTCATATTGCATGTCTCACTCCTTTGTTGTTTAGATTTTGATAGATAAGAGTTACTTGCTGAGTTTGATTTTTTAACTCACCCGTTGTCTTTTTCAATAGGTCCTACAGACGTATTTGGGGGATCGCTACCTCAGAAGCAAGGTTACTATCAGTAGACTATTTTTTATATTTATTATTTTGTAGTAGTTGATTATGCTTTTTGATTATGAGGGTTGAGTAGTTTCTTTCTTGTTTTTCATTATATTTATATTTATGTTGGCTTGTTTCAGAATTCTTGTTATTTGGATGTATTGATTATTTGAACTTCTATTAATGAATTGGCTCTTTATTTCACTTCCTCTATTTATTATGGTAAATATATATATACTATTATATCTCATGTATATGCATTATGCTCTTTGTCAATACAAAATAGATCTTTTTATCCATTCATAGCGTCCCATATTGTCAGGGTGTACTGCCTTCCGGACCCGGTGTGTGACAATGTATCATTTCAACAAATAGTAATAAAGAAATAGAGCTTGAGAACCACAAAATTTTTATCAAAATTATATGTATCATGTGACGGAAACAAGAATGGGGTGTCTCATATATTCACTAAACCTAAAGAATCACATACTACCAAGTTGAACGTTTTGCACCCCATTACTTGAAACAAGAAGTGCTGGGGCATGCCTTGAAAGATTAAATGCTGGTACCATATGAATTGCAACTAAAAACTAAACATTACACTCTACTACTAAAAAAAGAAGAAAGAACAACCTGATAGAACATTTCAAGAGAAATGAAGAAAAGGAAACATTATGAGTGAGGTAGACATGTGGATAAAAGAAAAAGGGTATAGTTTGTTAGAATATGAAAGGGGAAGCAATCATGCAAGGACCATTCCAGCATTTACAATAAGCACCAAAATATATAGAAAAAAATCCTTTTTTAATAGCCAATTACACAAATTCGCATAGAAAAAGTTGCTTTCTAAGGCTTTATAACTCAGGTGGCATCCTTATATGCAAGTAAATAGATAAATAAAATCTGTTACATAATGGTCATGATCAGGTATTACTTAAGAAATGAAAATGTAAATTTTGTTTAACACACTCGTCTCTAGCAAACAAAAAAAAATAATCAAATGAAAAAAAAAAAAAAAAAAACAAAAATAAAAAAAAAAAAAAAAAAAATAACAGAAATGAATCTACCATCATGCAGAATTATTAGCCGCAAACATTGCAAAATTTCACTTCTGATATGAAATGCCAAGGTACTCATTTTGATAACAAGTTTTTTTTTCCAACTTCTAGAGGGGCCAACCCAGTATCGCTTAGTCTAGCTGCAAGTAGATACGAAATATAACAAGTTCCATAAGATTTATTAAAACAGTTACAGGGCAACTTGGGTGAGAGAATTCATGCATATGGGTTAAGAATGCAGCATTGATCATGAAAAACATCAACACATAACATAAATATATTCCCGCTATCAAAAGTATAAAATCTCAAATGGAACCTGAAAAAACCAATCTACGATGGAATTTACCACAAACAATATGCCAAACGGGAGACTCACCAAAAACACACACCACGGAATAAAAAAGAAAACTCAAGGAGTGAAAGAAAAAGCATATAAACAGGCACTGCATAAACATCAGCAAATAGAGCTATCTAATCAATAACAACTTTGATCGCCAATGTCCTAACAAAAAAAAAAGTTGCAAGAGAACTACATGCTCACAAATGCTTCTCGAAGTTTAAATTATATACATTGATCATAATCAAAACAAGAAAATCACTCTCAATGAGAATGAAATGCCATAAGGAATAATCGATTTATCTTATCATGTAGTTCTCTAGCAACAAAGGAGAATAACCGGCGTAATAGGTTATTAATCAGCTCACAATTACCATCGATCAAACAAATTCAAGACAATAAGTAGAGAGTAGATGATGAAAAACTAGATATCTTGATTGCCGGTGATCTATGTGGGTAGGCAACAGTGGCATCCCTAGCGGGAATTAGGAGCATTTCTTACTTTGATCATGAAAGAGAATATGAGAAATAAACGCGGTGGCGTATCTACCTGAAGAAGGGTGGTGGCATAGCTAATGTAGTTGCGAATGAGGCCCTGAGCAGTGATCCGAATCTCGTTCTCGTTAATGGTGGACTCAGGCCTCGGCTTCTCGACTCTCTGGTATCGGTCCATAGTTGTCGCGCGTTTAGGCGGCTTGATTGCTAGAAGCCTTGGTCGAGGAGGGGACAAGGAAGAGGGGGCCGGCGCCGCCGCTCTAAAAACCCTACTTGGGGAACAATTATTTGGTTCGGCGAACGTACGCTCTTCTACGTTCGGCCACCAATATTTTAGCGACACGTAGCATTAAGAAAAGTCGCCGACCCGACCCGCCGTTTTTTGGGTTGGACAAGAAAAAAAAAAACGGAAAAGAGTTTTCGTGGGCTTTTTTTTTTTTAGATTTATTCGGATAACATTTCAGATTTTATAATCTATATATATATTTAACTATTTACTAATATACATTTAAAAAATTAAAATTATAAAAAATAACATTTAAACTCTCTCAATCATCTTTCACGCCATTGATCTTAACGACCTTCTCTACCTCATGCTCTTCACATATTACTGATCTATTTATTCTCTTTCGCACACCATTCATCTTATTGGTACTTTCGACGGCAAGTTATGTAAGATTCTGTCACGACTTTCTCATGTCTAACAATATTGATTAACTTTATTAGCAAAATACTACATAATGTAAAATAATTAGGTTTACATGCCAAATATGTAAATTGTAAAATTTTGTGTGATATATATTTCTTTTTTTATTTTATTTTAATGTCAGTTTTTCAAGAAAGAAAAAATTAAAGATTAGCTCCCTAACCTCTAAAAATTTCAAGATTTGATCCCCCAATTTTGGAACTTTTATTTGGTCCGGTGAACGTACGTAACTCTACGTTCGGCCGCCAGTAGAACCGCGCCACGCGTTTTCATTATTTACCGCGCGTCCCGACAGCCCGACCCGGAACGGACCCAAGATTACTCGATATTGCTCGGTATTGCTAGGTATTGATCGATTTTGCTCGACAATAATCAATACAGAGCAATACAGAGCAAATACCTAGCAATACCGAGCAAATCCCTAGCAATACCGAGCAAATCATGAGCAAATACTGAGTTGTACCGAGTTGTAAAAAAACTCGGTACAACTCGGTATTTGCATGGGATTGATCTTCACAGAGCGGTATTTCTCATTTTTTGCAAAGCAATACCTAGCAAATACCGAGCAATACCGAGAAAATCGCGAACATAGCATTCCCGGGTTCCACTCCGGGTCAAGTCGTTGGGCCGCGCGATAAAGAGTAAGAGCACGTGGCGACATGTTATTGGCGGCCGAACGTAGCTCTACATCCGGTCAGAGGACGTAATAATTGTTCCCAATTTTGAGAGCAAATATTACATGCGAAGTCCACACGTCATATAGACTCCTCCAATCATAACAGGTCACATCGTATATATATTATATACAATTTGTTTACTGGATGTGTACAAATTACACAGGCTGACGTGACCTATTCTGATTAGAGTTCGGACGCAAGCTATGTCTGAATTCTGCACGTAAAAATTTCTCCAATTTTGCTACCAAAATATGCTAATTATAATTTAGTTCACATTAATTAATAACACTTTTAAAAAGACTATAATTTCATTATAAAAAAAAACTAACCATACAATTTTTTTTGTCTATACAGATTAGTTAAATAATAAAAATGGATTCTTAAATATTTAACAAGCTGTCTTAAAATTGATCTCTTTTTCTAATACTTCTTTCCTTTTTTTCAACTTAATGTAGATAAATATTTATGCATAAACGAAAATTTGAATGGCCAAATTTTCGGAACAAGCAGCTTATATGCGAGATTTAACGATTCAAGCAGTTTTTTAAAAAAATTTAGAAAAGATCAAATGCGCTAGATAGGTAGGCGCATTCAAAGAATGCGCCGTCTTGTTCGGCGCATTCTATGAATGAGCCATTAGTTTAAGCGCATTCTTCAGATAATTTTTTTTTTGCATAAAATGCGCCAAAGCCGTCGGCGCATTCAGCGAACGATCCTCCTCGTTTTCAGTGTTTATAATTTTCATCGTATCATGTATGTTTTTTTTCGTTTTCAGTTGTCGTATGAGGAATGTTTTTTTTCGTTTTCAGCTCCGCATGTTATTCCTCTGTATCGTTTCACTTGAAAATCAGGGGATGATGTAGTGTGTTTTATCTTGTTGATTGTGAAATGATAATTTTATGCTGAGAGTGGGATTATTGTGTAGGGGAGTTGGGTTTTAAAGTTTTTGAGTGAAATTTAAAAATTAAAATTCAGTTTGTTTAATAAATATAATATTTAGAAGAGTGGATTTATTGAGATCTTAAAGAATAAAACATTTGTATCGAATTTAAAGTTTGGACCTTTATAAAAATAATTTCCAATTTGTTTTGAGGAAGAAGAAATTATCGTGAAATATTAAAAATTTAAAGTTTTCAAATTTAGAAATAGTTTTGATATTATATACAATAATTCGTTTTGCTATTAAGAGATTTAGAAGAAGTAACTTATGAATTTTTTGTTATATAAATTTTTTATAGAAATAAAAATTTAAATTATTTGTTTTTGGATTGATAACATTACTCAAAATATCTTATTTTCCATAAAATAAATAATTAGAATAAATTAGGGTAATATTTATGTCAGCAAATGAGAGAAAAAAAGTGTGAAATTATATATATTAAAATTTCTTATAAATAAAGTATAGTTATGTTGAAATGTATAAAAATAATTGGCCAAGTTTAGTTAGTTTCTTTGTGAAAGTATGGAGAGTTTATCTTCTTAATTTTATACGTATAAATTTACAAAATAGATGCGACAATCATATTAAGAAGTAATTTACGTGAAATCAAGTTGAGAAATAAAATTTGTTATCTCATCATTTAAATATTTAATTATTTCTTTAAAAAATTTAAAAATGTAGAACTTTTATGTACTTGTGTTTCCCTGATTGAAAAAAGAATTAGATTAGATAATTTAAAGGCATTATTTAATGGCCAAATTTTCGAAACAAGCATCGTAAATGCGACATTTAAAGATTCGAGCAGTATTTTAAAAAAAATTAAAAATTTTAAAAAGATTCGAGCACATTTTATATTTAAATCTAAAATAGAACCAGCTAATAATTTTAACAAAATTGGGAAATGAAAGTGCCAAAATTCTTTAACACAAATTCTAGAAAATACTTGATTAGTTTAGTAATAAAATGGATGAGATATCATAATAATTGAGGAATGGTAAACAAAGTATTATTACATTTGGCTCAGAACTATGCGCATACGCGCTTGAAGTTGGGTTAGAGTTGGACAGCATAAGAATTTTGTTGTGAACTGCTGTTGGATGTATTGCCAATCTTTTATGTCAAGAAACTCCTTCTTCTTTTTACCATCTATAATATTCAGCTCTTTATATTTTTCTGATAGAAATCCATCTTGATTAGTATGCCACCTTTTATAAAGGATACAATGTTGCACATCAGTTATTGGATTCTCAGCATTGACCACAGCAGCAACCAAAGGTGTGTGTATGATTCTTCAAACTTAGTACAATCAAAATGATAGCATATAAAACAAGGGCAACCACACTGCGCTACAAGCTTTGGTGAATTGGCTTCAATTAAAATTATTTCAAAAATCTGCTCTTTTCGCAAAATTAAATATGCTACACGCTGCTTCCGAAAATTTGGCCAATTTGAATGATCTCCCTTCTATGCACCTTTTTTGTTTTCCTTAACAATCATAGAATAAATAAGATATTCAGACTTTTATAAAGAAAGTAGTTTAATGATTAGATTGTTTATGATATACAAAACAAAAGAGTTAAGTCTTCGTTGAGGACATTTTTATAACACTATTTTTTCTTACTTTCAAAAATTTTTATATTAAAAGATAACTTTACAAAACAGTAAGAAATTCATACCAAATAAAGCCTAAATATTTTTTAAAGGTTAGGCTATTGCAACTTTTCATAAAATTAATTGTGAATTTTTTGTAAGAAAAATAAATTAATTATTGTGATAGCAAAAATTGACTTTCCATAATAAAAATTTCTAAAAATGAATGAAAAATAACAAGAAGATAATAGGAAAATAAAATTGTAATTATTATCTTAAAAATAAATCATTAGAAAACTATCACAAACAAATCATAAACCATCTCTTCTATAATGTAGAACCATAAAACATGTATCAATACCTGTGTAATTTTTGTGTTGATGGAAAGCTCTCATTTTATCAGGAGCAATCAACAAATATTTCAATACAAGAGTACCGTGCAATTACAGCTCAAATTGACTGCACATCTTTGAGATCATTTTGTCGGCAAATTATTGCGTCCGGTCACCGGATGTCTGGACATCCAATCCGGTGACGTCACGTCACCCAAATACATTGGGTCCCGGTGCATTTTGGTGATGTGACGACACCGAATTGATGTCCGGACGAATCCGAACACCGGACACAATAATTTGCCCATTTTGTCACCTACTTAAAAAAGTTCTAACTGTACTGATTTTGGCGCATTTGGAGTTGATCAGATTACTCATTGGTGTCGATAATTTTTGAAATTGGAGTTTAGATACTCCTTAAAAACAAAAATGCTGATTGTCCTATAGATAAATCAGGCCTTGAAGTGATCACAGTCCACAATTCCAATAGTAAGACTTTGATTTTTCCCTTAAAAAAAAGTTGTTCACTTTCATCATCATATCGATAGGTTTTGGAGGGAGACCATAGTAATAAAAAGGCAAGCATCAAAAATTGGCTGACTGGCCCCAAATCAAATCATATTTCATCTGCTGAACAATACTTTTTTTTAACATTTAGATCAATTAAGCGAGAAATTATTATGTGCAGAATTCAAACGGAAAGAATCGTTCGGACTGTGAGTGTACACACTATGTACAAATAATATATATAAAAAGTCGATACACATTATGTACAAATTTATACACAGTATGTACACTCACATGTCCGAACGGTTCTTCCCGTCCGGACTCTGCACGAAATAATTTCTCCAATTAAGTCAAACTCACACATACATCATATATGTAGGATTCAAACTTAAGAACTCTTGATTGATAGCCAAGACTCACAACCAAAAGACCAAGACGCAACGTGCTGAACATTAAAAAAATTTTACATGACAGGTGAGAAAATGTAGTAGAACAAGACTAGACCGAACCTAATGTTGAT